CTCTAGATGAGATTCCAACTCCTCAATGTATTTCTTGCCTTCAATGGCAAGAGACATGATTTCCATGAAGTTGGAATGAGCAAGTTTATTTTTGTGAAGAGCTTTAAAAATCATTTCCCCCTTAGTTTTTAAGGAGGCAACATTATCATTCTCTTCATCATAATCAACATCATCATCACTCTTTCCATCATCACAAGATATATTGGGATTCAAAGTGGGAGATACCTTTGAAGCCTTGGCCATAAGGCAAAATGCAATAGATGATGATGAAGGATCCGTTGAAGCACCATTCAAGACCACATCTTGTTCCATGGGGTGTTGGGTTTCCTCTACATTGTTAGCACAACAATTCGAGGACATATATGCATTTTTATCATGGCAACAAGACATAGTAAACATATCATCATGGGATTTAGTCAAGCATTTTCTACATGATATGCAAGGACTATCAACACAAGCATGTGAAACATTTGGAGTGCTCGAAGTGTTAAAGCCCAAAGAAGGAGCATTGCAATAAGATAGTGATGAAGGATCATCCACAATAAACATACTATCATCATTGCAATGACCAACACTACTCACCATATCATTACCTTGTGGCAAGCCACATGTAGGTGAAGTAGAAGAAGTTGAGAAGACTATACGGCCGGATGTGGAGGGAGAATAATCATCCCCACAAAACTTGGACACGCCATATTTATATTGAAGCTTTGTCCACAACTCATGAGCATCCCTGAACGGCATGAGTTGAAATATAACTACGTTGCTCAAAGCATTGAAAAGCACATTAGAAGCTTGAGCATTGAGATAAGAGTTTTTTTCATCCTCTAAAGATAATCTTTGCGGATCCTTTGGAGGAGATAAACCCATATCTACAATTCGCTCTAAATTTGGGTCCATGACCCTAAAGAGATTAAGCATGCGAATTACCCAAACATCAAAATTTGTGCCATCGAAACTAAGAGTGTCAGAGAATCCTAATCCCCTAGTCGACATCCTTACTCTCTAGGCGGTTAAGCCCTATAAAGAGAAACCTCGCTCTGATACCAATTGAAAGATCGTGGATGTCGCCTAGAGGGGGGGTGAATAGGCGTTTTAAAATAATTACAGTTTAGGCTTGAACAAATGCGGAATAAACCTAGCGGTTAATTTGTCAAGCACAAAACCTACAACAATTAGGCTCACCTATGTGCACCAACAACGTATGCTAAGCAAGATAGACTACTAGGTGATAGCAAGATATATGATAAGAAACAATATGGCTATCACAAAGTAAAGTGCATAAGTAAAGAGCTCGGGTAAGAGATAACCGAGGCACGCGGAGACGACGATGTATCCCGAAGTTCACACCCTTGCGGATGCTAATCTCCGTTTGGAGCGGTGTGGAGGCACAATGCTCCCCAAGAAGCCACTAGGGCCACCGTAATCTCCTCATGCCCTCGCACAATGCAAGATGATGTGATTCCACTAAGGGACCCTTGAGGGCGGTCACCGAACCCGTACAAATGGCAACCCTTGGGGGCGGTCACCGAACCCGTACACTTTGGCAACCCTTGGGGGCGGTCACCGGTACCCGTCAAATTGCTCGGGGCGATCTCCACAACCTAATTGGAGACCCCGATGCTTGCCCGGAGCTTTACACCACAATGATTGAGCTCTAAACACCACCAAACGTTTAGGGCGCCAAGGCACCCAAGAGGAACAAGCTCGAGGGTGCCCAAACACCCAAGAGTAATAAGCTTCTCAAACTTCACTTCCATGTATCACCGTGGAGAACTCAAACCGATGCACCAAATGCAATGGCAAGGGCACACAGAGTGCCCAAGTCCTTCTCTCCCAATCCCACCAAAGCAACTAATGCTAGGGAAGAAAATGAGAGGAAGAACGAAAGAAGAGCACGAAGAACTCCAAGATCTAGATCCAAGGGGTTCCCCTCACTTAGAGGAGAAAGTGATTGGTGGAAATGTGGATCTAGATCTCCTCTCTCTTTTTCCTCAAGAACTAGCAAGAATCATTGGAGGGATTGAGAGTTAGCAAGCTCGAAGAAGGTCAACAATGGAGGAAGAACACGAGCTAAAAGGATAAAGTTCATTGGGGAAGAAGACCCCCTTTTATAGGTGGGGAAAAATCCAACAGTTATGCTCACAGCCCGCACAGAGCGGTACTACCGCTCCAAGGAGCGGTACTACCGCTAGGGCGGAAGTACCCCTTTGAAAAACAACTGCGAGGAGGCAAAAGGCCAGAAGAACCGCCGGAGCGGTACTACCGCTCGTCCTCACGGTACTACCGCTCGACCTCACGGTACTACCACAAATGGTAGCGGTACTACTGCTTGCGAGCGGTACTAAAAAAATACATCCGGGCCTACCACCGCAAGACTTGGGATGAGTTTTTGGTCCGGAGTGGTACTACCATTGTAGGAGCCGCGGTAGTACTGCTCTGGAGCGGTAGTAAAAAATTACATCCGCTCCAATTCGCAGTAGTACCGCTGCAGCCTTTTCAGAACACCAAAACTGCCACAACTTTTGCAAACGGACTCCGAATCCGATGAAACCAAGTTTGTTGGAAAGCTAGAGACAAGGGCTAACACAATCTTCAAAGAAATATCTATAAGAAGCAAATGATAAAAGGCCCATAAGAAAATGGTGAGAACCCTTCCTCGGAAAAGACCGGTAAAACCTCCAACACCGAAAACATCATAGAAGATGCATGCGAACTCCGTTTTCGATGAACTCAAGCTTGTAATCAAGATGACCATAAGCTCTAAGACTCACAAAGAGAACCAAACAAGAACCAAGAAAGATGATGCAAGGATGCAATGGTTTGAGCTCTTTACTAACGATACGATCAAGCTACCAACTTGAGAGCCCCCCTTGATAGTACGGCAAACGATTCTATAACCCGGTCTCCAAACTACCACCATGATACCGGTAAAATACAAAACCTATCAAGGGCAAACCTTTGCCTTGCACATGGTCCACTTGAGCTAGATGATGACGATCTTGACTCCCTCAAGTTGGACCACCTTTCTTGATTGCGTTGGCTCAATGAAGACTAGATGATTGCTCCCCCATAGTCCACTATGGGTGAGCAACTCTTCGGCACATCTCCACAAGTCCATTGTCACCACAATGGACGACAAGCTTCAAGCACTTGATCTCTTCGCGATGATCCACTTGAACTTGCACACGGCAATCTTGATGACGATCACCACTTGATGTCATCCTCTCCATGGGTTGAGTGATATCTTCCTCTTGACACAAGCCCATGAACACGTACCTAACCCCATGTAGAACTCTCACATAGACCATGGGTTAGTACACAAAGCACAATGGACAATGCTTACCAAACCATGGGATCACTTGATCCCTCTCGGTACATCTTCTACGCTTTGTGAGTTGATCAACTTGATTCACTCTTGACTTAGTCTTGAACAACCTTAAATCTTTCCAACTCTCTTCATTTGAATGATGTCTTGAAGGTAAACATGAATGATCACACAATCTTTTTCTTCAAGACATGCTTGCAATAAGCTCAACTCTCAGATGACCAAGCTTTGGATAATTCCTTAATAGCACCTTGGTCAACACAAACTCTCCTTGAAACCAACACATGTACTCCAAGAAAAGTCTATGGACAAAACCTTCAAATATAACTCAAGGCAACCGTTAGTCCATAGAGATTGTCATCAATTACCAAAACCAAACATGGGGGCACTGCATGTCTTTCAAAGGTCCCATTGGTTGGAGGTGGGTCGGGGCTGCTCAACGGCACCATCAAGATGGAAATGGCGCAACAAAGCACCGCCGTTACCACCGACTAAGTCAGGAAAAACGTTCGCCTAGAACACCACAAAAACCACCGTCACTGGATTGTCGCAAGGACAGTCCACCGCGCCGCAGCTCTTGAAAAATCCAGGGAGCCGCCGCCTTCACTTGAAGCACCATCAACCATGCCACTGCCGCCCACATGGGCAGGGGCACGACACAGATCCACCTTGACCTGGAGTAGTCGCTCCAACAATCACGAGCAGACCACCGCCAAAAGCCCTGGCCACCACTCTGCCGCACGCACGATCGGAGTTGGCAGTGCACAGACCACACCAGAGGCCAGGGACCCTCCCCCCACGACAACCACAACACACCCACCTACGTGGCGTCACCGCGCCGTCGTCTAGGAGTTGCAGCACACCGCCACCACCACAGCTCGACTAGCCGGATGTGCAGCTGTCGCAGCCACATGCCTGGGCCCCCCACCGACGGATCCCGGATCCAGGTGCTAGATCTGCGGCGATCGGCCCCAACACCGCCCCTCACGACCCCCAGCGAGGGAGGAGGAGAGAAGCGGTGTTGCCGGCATGCTCGGGGCCACCGCCCCTGCTTACCTGCGCCGGCGAGACGCCACCATCGGTAGTCGATTAGCTTTGTCCAGGGCCGCCGCTACGTGCCTCGTGAGGAGAAGTCCCTGCCGCCGTCGTACGTCTAGTGGGCTTCGCCCGTCGGTTTCACCTGGCGGCGGCGAGGGGAGCTGGGGTGGAGGTGGAGAATGGGGCGGCAGTGGTGGCTAGGTTTCGGCCGTGCCGCCCCCCGTGAGCGACACGAGCGCTTCAGCTTTCCCCAAGTGCAAGCATGTGAATGTCGTTATCAACAGAATCTAGATACAAGTTTTGGCTTTACCGACCAATTGCTTGACTGAATTAAGATTGGAGTGAGTAGAACATGTCCAGGGCAATGGTAAACAGAGCAGGGAAAGAAGCCATCTCCAAGCTTGCACTTCGTACTATTGTATTAAGCATCAAAGGACCATGTAATTGCTGGGAAGACATCCTACCCGAATATGAAGTTTTCTAGGATTTCCTTTTGCTGGGGGCATATGTCACTGAGCAATAGTTTAATCTATAGGCGCTCAAAGAGGAGGTATATGCTGGATTAGTTGTACTCTACGGGGAAGTTAAACTGAGATACTCAAACCCCATGTATTCAGGGCTAGTCATGTATCCTTTACACGAGAAACAACATAGACAACGAGAGCAGACAAGAGCCGGCGACCAGCCACCGCTGCACCGCCGAGACACGCACGTCCCAGGCCGCATTGGGCAGCGAAGGGTACTGATCCGGCGGCGGCATGACGCACTCGTGTCCATTGAAGTAGACCCTCCTCGGGAACGCCCAGCCCCCCGAGAAGGTGAAGTCGCTCGGGTCTTTCTCCAGTATCATCTCGGTCTGCACGTTCCCGTCACCCAGCAGCATCTCGTTGTAGTTCTTGATTCCCCAGAACATCCCCGTGTCATCTGCAAAAGACCACATTTCTTACCCATTCTTGCTTCGTATCATCTTCTTGTCAAAGATTATGCACTTACTGATCGTGCCGTACTGGATGAGGGGCTGGTAGTTGAAGCTGAAAAGTTGCGTCAGGCTCCGGAGGTTGGGGTGCTGCACCACCAGGTTCCAGTCGGTGTAGTTGCTGACGACGTCGTAGTTCGTCACCGCCACCTTCACCCTCCAGTACCCCCGGTAGCTCTGCTTCACGTGCCAGTGCACCCGGATCGGGCACATGTGCTCCGTGCACCGGATGACTGGCACGGGCGGAGCGCCGTCGGCGTCAGGCAGCGCCGCCAGGACCTTGGACTGCTCGCCGCCGCTGAAAAACCGGACGAACATGCACACGCAGACACGAATCAGAATGACGGCAGAAGAAAATCAGAAGAATGCAGAGTGTGTGGCAGGGTGTCAGGTGGCTTTGCCTGAGGCACTGATGCGCCGAGGGAGAGTTTGCACCGCCACAGCTGTCCCGCGGGCACCCTACGATCGTGCTGTTGTAGAAGGTCGTGAGGGAGACGCAGCAGGACGGCGACGGTGCGTCCCTGAACTGCGAGTACGAGCAGATGATCTGCCATGTCCCTGCACCCCACCAAGCCAAGAAATAGTCAGCGCTCGATGCACGGCGTGTCACAAGACGGTGGATGTTGGCAAGAAAGAAAGAACCAAATGCTTACGCAGAACTTGTACGTGCCGCTGCTCGTCGACCTTGGACCTCGTCGCCGGCACGTTGGTGGCGTTGCTGCAGGTGTAGCCCGGCACGCCGATGCTGAAGGTGGTCGGCATCTTGGGGTCGCCGTGCTCGTCGAGGGCGAAATTGGTGATATACATCTCGAACTGCGAGGTGGCCGTCCTGTTGTTCTGCGTGACGGACGACAGCACGCCGCCGCGGCAGCAGTTGGCGGACTGCCTGTTGTACGGCGCGCCCGGCAGCAGGTCCATCATGACCGGTTGCTTCTCGCAGCAATGCGGAGGGGCGCCGTTGGCGCCGTGGCGGCCGGTGCAGTTGCCCTGCTCCGTCGTCTCCGCGCCGATCACGGTCGAGATGAACTCGTGGCCGGCCCACACCCAGCTCAGCCGCCACCCCGGGCGCTCGATGTGGCGGTACAGCTGGTAATTGTGGATGCTCACCTTGACCTGCGCGCACAGGAAATCGATTGATTCGTACGCAGTTTCAGTGGCAGAAAATCGCGATTTCCGTCAGGAGCATTGCGTTTCAGGAGAAAAGAAAAATCCCAACTATGCGCACCGCGTACACATTGGGCTCGATGGACGGAAAATCCCAGTTGATGGTGATGTTCCCGTTTGGATCCACCGGATCATACGCATCTGCCAGAGAGACACGGCGAAACCAACAATCATCAATCGCAGAATCAAAGGAGACGCAGAAAGGAAGAATCATGACACATCAGGGGAAAACCAATGAATTACCAGCGAAGCGGGAGGACAGACAACACATGAAGATGAACAGGACGAACTGCTCCATCGCCATGGGTCTCGTCCTCTCGGGCTTCTTCACGCACCGGCGGCGCCCGACAAAACGACGCCTTCTGCAGGCACTTGGCACCCTCGGTCTGCGTAGGTAGGTAGGGGACGAGACGAGGGGAAGAGGGGGATGGCAAGACTGTGGGTACGAGGAAGAGGACAGGGATCGGCTTTGGCACGCATATAATCCTAGCACCGCTGATGTGACACGCGCGTCGTCATGACTCGTGGATATCTCAGCATTTAGCCTCGAATTAAACGCCCGGAGTGGAATGGAGGCGCGTCCGCGCACACACACACGGATTACTACTCGAGTCAGGCAGGAAACGGACACTGATTACTCTCCTTTTCTGCGCCTAGTCGACAGTGGGACTGTGGGAAGTCCAGTTGGCGTCTGCTCACCGTGCGGCGGCGTATATGGAAAGCCATCCCGGATTGGCACGCTAGCCGCGTTCGTTTCCTCTCTGCGCGTCTGTCACCTTGCCGTACACGTTCCTGCCTGATTTGGAGGGAAGTTTGAATCGGTGGGCCGACACGCGAGCCATGCAAACGGTGGTGATACTTGTTCATCGTTCACGGTGCCATTCAGCGAAATGACCAAAACTTGGCGTGTGTCCATGTGTAAGTTGTAATTGATGCTCTTGGTTGGAGGATGAATTCCCTATGGTAAAAAAAAAACATTTTTAGAGGGTTTGTGGTGAGCGCTCGATCAGGATCGATCCGACGGCTACACAGGTGGCGGCAATAGAGTAGGCCATTTTGAAGACTGAGCTCCATGAAGCCCTTTATTTTGAAACATTCAAAATTCATAACTTTCAGTTTTAAAAAATTTCCGAAAAGAAATATACATCTATACCAATATAAAAAGACCCAAATAGGCAGATCCAAACCATCTCCACCGTCAAATCATGTTATCTAGCGGTTCAAGTCGCTCCATTGTTGAGCACCAAACACGTTCAACGCTCTAATTACCCACCACCGCCATTGGTTATAAACATGTTTTGACTCAACGCTATCCCTTGAAATTTGCCATGTAATTAATATCCTACCATTCCCGTGAAAAAGTAATTGATATCTTACCAAATATCAAAGTGCAACAGATATATCTTACCTAATATAACGTGCAACTAATACCCTACCTAATATAAATGTGCAATGCCAATCCGTCATAATGTTTTTCGACTGAAATACCTTGAACCGCGAGCTGCACCAAAAAAACAAAATCAGGGACTTTAAAGATGAACAGTATATATATGCTAAAAAGCCTCAAATTTGTCTTTTTTGTGTAGCTCACATCATAATGTATTTCGACTTGAAAATTTGCACATGTGTACATTATGTATCTAGGTATATGTGTATTTATTTTTAGAATTTTTTGAAACTAAAAAGTTTGAATTTTGAAGTTTTCAAATAAAGGCCTCCATAAAGCTCGGTCTTCGTTTGGCATTTTCGAAAAAAAATACAGCTTTTGCAACCGTCGAAATGGACATTTTCTCTCTTGCCCCACCAACAAATCTTGTGTAGCTCCGCCACTGGGTGGCGGATGCTGCACGGGCATCAGCCGGCTGAAGGGTAGCGTTTTCCTTTGTTCTAAGTCAAAGTTTTAGAATTTTGACCAACTATATAGAATAAAGTAGTAACATATATGACATCAACTTGATATATTATAAAAGTACATTCCAATACGGATCTAATGATACTAATTTATTGCCATAAATGCTGCTGCTTTTTTCTATAAAATTGGTCAAAGTTTTAAAACTTTGACTTAGGACAAAATTTAGAAGTACACTTATCTGCGGACGAAGGGAGTATGCTCCTACCTCTTGCCTTCTGAGCACGGATTTTATGCAATCGTGCATACGTGCTCTTAATGTTTTAAATACGGATTTGCTAATTCTCACCTAGATGAGAATTAACAAAGTCATATCTAACTCCTATACTATTTGATTAACCAAACAAAAAATAAAAGGAAACCCACGAATCTTCGTGTAAAATCAAACGGTGTAGGAGTTAGATGAGATAATTATTTTTCATATAGATAAGACTTTTAACTTGTAGTATTAAAAAGTAGTTTACATAATTCAGAAAAATGGAGAAAAATATACTAAAACGAACTATTTATTTCAAGTTCCTCGTGAAAAAATGTGTTAATCTAGAGCCTACGTGAAAAAGACATGAATGAGTAGTTACAAAGGTATCTTTTTTTTAGGGTAAAGTTACAAAGGTATCTTTGGATGCTTTAAGTTTGGCTTCTGTGCACAAGCCACGACAATGCACATATACCTTCTTCGCACCAAACTTTAGATCTCTACATAGACTGTTTCCAAATGTGCTGGAAGAATAAAAATATTTTTAGGAAAAGACGGCCGGTGTGTGCTCTTGGAAGCTCTCACTATCACACCATCACAGGAAGAAACGAGAACCCTGGCATAAACCTCTCGCTTAGAAAAAAAAAACTAGCACAACTTCCATATATCATCTCACCATCACATGAAATTTAAACTACAAAACTGATACATGCATGTATACACGGAGAATCAATAGAGACAAATCTTGCTGCGGATGGTATCGGCCGGTTCTATCCGCTTCAGAATTTGTCTTTGCCATATTTGAAGTAAAAAAGAATACATGTTGTGGTTTTCTGACGAGACAAGCTAATTGAAGCTCTTTCTAGTAAAAGTATTACACGTTGATTGGTTCAAACAGTGTGCCTCTTCAAAGTCACGACCAAGCAACATCTGAAATCACGTTAGTCATAAACTAACTGACGGTACGGCAAAAGCTACGGTGCACTGACAATTGGCACCATCGGCGGCCTGCATTGCTTACTTCATGTGACCGGCGGAAGAGAAATCTAAGTATAATTAGAAACCATTGGCATAAGCAGGTGGAAGATTCCAAAGCAACGTTCTCCAGAACCTTACAAAACGTTCGTTTTCAGAACAATTCCCCCTGTCCACATACCTGGCTGCCATGTAAATGAACATTATTATTCGTAAGGTGCTCTGGGCATCGGCCTGGTGGAGGCAGTGCCTTATCGGCCGCTTCCCCACCGCCTGATCACACATAAAATCAAAATCTGGAACGTCTGATCCATACAGAATTGAAATACCATGTGTAACATTGACATGTTTGTGCAGATACCCAAATTCATCGCCACCCATGTGTTTGCAACCAAAGACACACAATATTGCAGCGTGTTGAAACAAATGACGTACACAACATCGAGAATTTCTAAAATGATTAACCTCACACACATCATCCAAGGAGCTTGTCACAAATGTGACTAGTCAAAGCCGAATCGGGTGGGCCTGAATCCATTCCCCTTGGCCCAACACCTTCTTCCGACCTCGCCACCACATAGGCCTCGGTTTCGAGACCTCCTCATCAGCGCCTACAGCGAGCGGGAGCGGGCCATGACCCATCCAGATTCGCACCACTCGCTTCGTTATTCATTTGCTCGCTCAACTCGCCTTTCTCGCCTCTTGTTTTTTCTCGGTTGTACTACTGGTTCAGGAAATAGAACGACCACGTTTTTTTTTATTTTAAAAGGTTCATGGACTTGAAAAAAAATCACAAATTAAAATTAAATTCTGATGAAAAAGGTTCATCGATTTGAAAAACAAAAGTTCATGAATTTGGGAAAAATCGCAAAAATAAAAAAGCTTATTGATTTAAAAAAATCATTTTTAAAAAAAAATAACAAATTGAAAAAAGTTCATTTTATTTGAAAAAATTCACTCAATTTGAAGAAGAAAAAGTTAACGAATGTGAAAAAAAATGATTTGTGAAATTGAAAAAAGTTCATTGATTTCAAAGAAAGTTCACACATTTGACAAAAAAGTTTCCAGTTTTGAAAAAAAGTTTCCAAATTTCAAAAACTTTAATGGAATTGAAAATTTTCATGGATTTGATTTTTCAAGAATTTAAGAAAATGTTCATGAATTTGATAATGTTCAAGAATTTCAAAATTTTCCATGATTTTTTAAAAAGTTAACAAATTTAAGCAAATGGAAAAGAAAATAAAAAGCTAAGAAAAAAAGACCAAGCAAAAACAAAAAAATAATAAGAAAAAACAGACAGAGAAGGAGTACAACAAGAAGAAAAACGAAAGTGAATGCACAGCAGATTAGCTTTGTTGGTTTGGTTACTGCGGGTGAATGTAAACACGGAGGTTGAGAGTTCAAATCTCACTTCACGCAACTAATGGAGCGAAAGAGGGGAGCTCCTAACTGGCGCCTTCAGCGTTCTTCTACGGGATGTTCCTACGAAGGCCCATAGCCATTCGCTCGCTGATTCATAGACGTTCACTCGCTAATTCTATCACTGTTCTATTGCTTCGAGCTTTTCTTTTTAAAAACTCAAAGAATTTGAAAAAAATCCATCAATTTTCAAAATAAATCACAACAAATTGTAAAAAAATCATCAATTTTCGAAAAAAGTTCATCGATTTTGAAAAGAATTTACAGATATGAAAAATCTTCATCAATTTTAGAAAAAATTCCACCAATTTGCAAAAGCATTCACCGATTTGGAAATAAAGATCATGAGTTTGGAAAAAATCATGGATTTTTGAAAAAAAAATTTGACAAAAAAGTTTGCGAAGTTGAGAAAAGAAAGACAAAAGGACGGAGAAAAATAAATGATGAATTTTAAAATTCATCGCCTTTGAAAAATTCATTGATTTTGAAAAAAAGTTCATCGCCTTTAAAGAATTCACAATTAAAAAAATCATCAAGTTTGGAAAAAAGTTCATTCATTTTGAAAAAAATCACAAATTTGTTAGCAACCCAATTGATATTCAATCACAGACGAAGATTACAGAGCTACGAGGTGGCTAATGGAGTTACAGTGCAGCAGAAAGAGGAACAGAGGAGAGAGCCAGAGGTAGGAGAAGGAGCCGTCGTGCCGTTTGCCTGATCCAACCTAGATGGTTCGGTTGCTGCTCTCCCTTCGTGTATTTGTAGCCAACATCGGTGGTGCACAGCCGGGCCTGGCCCATGTGAA